TAGATGGTAATCATTTGAGTGTAAATTTTTTCCCCACTTGTGAAATTATAGCTAATACCGTTGTAAGAAAAATTTTGGGTAATAAAACTTAGTGTGTAGTATATATTCATTTACAAAGCTTAGTTTTAACTTTTATTTTTAAATTACAATTAAAATATATGTATTAGTCATAATATTTTTATTTACCGTATTACCGCGAAATAACAATCATTGGCATTATTTCGAGGTTCTGCCCGAATTAAGCTTAATTTAGGCCGAAATTTGTAATATCACTCCTGCGCGTTATTTTGCGGTAGTACGGTATATTATTTTTTAATCTCATTTAATATATTTTTAAATACAAACGAATTTGGTTTTGCTTTTATTAATCATATACTGTACATTATAAGTAATTATTTGTTAGTTCTGAAATATTTAATTACCACATGTACTCTGTATTTTACAAATTATGATCTAATAAACCTATGAACTCACAAGTTTACTGTAAAAAAATCAATTATTAATTTAAATAATTTTAAATTTCAAAAGTTAAAATGCACATTTTCTATATGAAAATTTTCAAAAAATTTTCATTTTTTAAATTCTTTTTAATTTTTGTACTTTATTTTAAAATTCTTTTAAAGGGATATTTTGTAAACAACGACTATGACTTATACGTCAAAGTTTTTTGTACAGTATGGTCAATAACTTATTAGAAGATGTTTCAAAATTGTCGAGAGCATTTAAAAATGCTACTTGAAAAATAGTTTGTTAATATACGAACTTGCTAATGTATAATTACAGTCAATAGAGATAATTTTTTATTTTGAGGCATTATAATCATTCAAAGAGTTGGAATTATTGGCATATCTTGATTGCTAGGTGTATCAACCATTATAACAAGTTTAACAAGTTTGTCTCGGTTCATTAATTCACATGCCATCTCATAAGCTACAATTCCACCAAAAGATGATCCGAATAAATAATATGGTCCAAACGCGTTAACCTTTAAGAAATCAGTAAGGTAATTTTGTGCATATTGTTGAACAGTATTATATTTTATCGAACTTGATTCATGATTTTGAAGCCCGGGGAATTCAAATCCATAAACAGGTATATTACCAAAATATTTAGTCATGTTATAATAAATTCCGCAAGAACCTCCAGCAGGATGTATCATATAAATTGAAGGAAATATATTGGCATTTCCATGATTTAATGTTATCAGAGACGAGTAGGATTCACTTTCCATAAAATCTATCGGCTTTACATTCATTAGTTTGTCTTTAATAAATGCAGTCAAGGACTTTGGAGTTGGAGAATTTAATAAAATATTTGTTGAATTAAAATGTATGCCAAATCCTTTATTAAGTAAAGCCAAGAAATTTATCGCCTTGAGAGAGTTACCACCAACTTCAAAGAAATCACTGTCTTCATTAATGTTATCAATACCAAGACTCATTTTAAAGTACGTTATAACCTTTTCTTTAATGGACAATGCAGTTTCTTGCTTTTGAATTTGAACATGATTTTGTTGCTTTTGAATTTGAACATGATTATGTTGCTTTTGAATTTTAACATGATTATTTTGATTTTGTATTTCAAAGACCTCATTAACGTTATTTATTAAATTTTCCGATTTTTTGACCCAATAACTTTGAGAATGATCAAATTGGTATGTTGGTAAATGGATCATATGGACTTTTAATAACGAAGGTTTTATAAGGTTGTAATAAGTATGCCAATCAATTTCAATTTCATTACACCAACTATCTGAAATTAATTTTTCAATACCAAAATTTATCGGATCAAACCCATTAACAACTATGGCTTTATTATTCAAAGTATTTTGAATGAATAAATTTAAGACTTGTTAAAGTCCGACTTCGACGAATATTGCATTTGGAATTGTTGATTGTATCGTATTGATTCCAGATTCAAATTGAACAGTTTTTCGTATATGTGTTCTCCAAAAATTTGTTGTAAATGCTTCTTCCGGCTTTACCCAATCACCAGTCTCATTTGATATGAATGGAATATTTATCATTTGATTCCATTTAGCAGCTTGTGAAATTAATGGATAAATCTTAGTTTCAAATTCATCTAGTATACTATCTGTCATATGAGAATGAAATGCATGTGTAGTCAAAAGTTGTTTAACTTTATATCCACATTCTTTAAGTGTTTTTCCCAAATCTTTTATATCGTCAAGGTTTCCAGAAAATACACATTGCCCAGGTTCATTTACTGCTGCCAATGAGATTCTTTCAGTCTTTACAAAGTTTATTGCTATTTCATTACTAATATTTGCTGCTAACATTAATCCCTTTTCCATTTTATGCATAACATTAATTCTTTCTAATACTAAAGGTAATGCAATGTCGATTGAGAAGATACCAGCTAATGTAGCGGCCACGTATTGTCCAAGGCTATGTCCTATCATTCCAGCTATAGGATATTTAAAAATTTTTTGAAGAATATCGGCTATTATATGACTTGACATAAAAACTAATAATGGATAATATTTTATATCCAATTCTTGTGTGGTGTCCAAGAGATAATTTTCTAGATTCGGTACAGTAGGATCATAATTCTGCAAAATTTTAACATATTCCATAAATTTTTCTCTGTAAAATTTTGAAGACTTATAAAGTTGCCGGTGAATTGTGATAGAATGTTTTCCCTGTCCAGGAAACGCAAAGATAATATTTGGCGATGAAAATTTTACTTTTTTATTAATCCTGATCATTTTAAGTTGTGATATAGCATCTGAAAGAGATGAAGCAACAACTACGTCTCTAAAGATATATTGACTTCGACCAATTTGAAGGGTTTTCTCAACGTTTTTCAAAGCATTATTATCTTTAAGAGACTCTAAATGTATAATCATTTTTTTCTCTATCTCTAAAAGACTTGTTTGACATTTAGCCGAAAATGGCAAAATAAATTTATCAGTTTCGTCAGAATATTCTTCTGTTTCTTGTGAGTCCTTTAAATATTCGGCAAGGATACAATGTACATTAGTTCCACCCATACCAAATCCACAAACACTAGCATACATAGTTCTCTGTCCTTCAAATTTTTGTAGTTTGGTAGCAACATAAAATGGACTTGATTCAAAATCAATCTTCTTATTTGACTTTTCAAAAGATCCGCTTGCCATTGGAGGAATAATGCGATTCTCCAATGATTTAACAGTTTTTATAATTCCTGCTAATCCTGATGCAATGACACAATGCCCAATATTAGATTTTACTGTAGTAACTGCACAAAATTGTTTTGGAAGTTCTTGTGAACTTTCAAAAAACGCTTTTGATAATGCTTTAATTTCAATTGGATCACCAACTCTAGTACCTGTTCCGTGAGCTTCTATAAATGCTATTTCAGAAGGATAAATTTTTGCCAATTGCAATGCTTTTTTAACCACATCACATTGCCCATCTAAACTTGGTCCTTTAAAACTAGCTTTATTATTTTTACCATCATTATTTATTGCAATAGATTTAATAATTGCTGAAATCGGATTTTGATCCCTTATTGCATTGGATAATTTTTTTAGCACTATAACGGACACTGAACTTGTAAATATGGTTCCATCTGATTTATGATCAAAAGGACGCATTGTTCCATTGGTAGAATAAATAAATCCAGGTTGTGCCATGTATCCAGCTTGAGGAAGCTCCATCCATGAGGCACCGACTATTGCAATGTCACAATCCTCACATTTAATACTATTGTAAGCAGTTTTTAGAGCTGTTAAGGAACTAGAACATGTAGAACCAATACTAAACGCTGGACCCGTAAGATTCAATAAATATGAAATTATTGTCGCTAGACCTCCAGGTATATGGTTAATGTCTATTGTCAACTTTGTTGCAATATCTATATTATTTTGAGGTATTAATTTTTTATATCTACTATATTCTGCAGCAATGAATACACCAATTTTTCCTTTTTCTCTTCTTGGATCAATTCCTGCATCATCTAAAGCTTGAACACTTTTTTCCAATAATAAACGTTGTTGTGGATCCATATTAATTGCATCTTGTGCATTTATGTTAAAAAAATTTGCATCAAATTTATCAATATCCGCAAGTAGACCACATGTTGGCACGTAATTTGAATTAGAACGTAGAGAAGCTGGTATTCCTAGTTGTTCAAGTTCTTTGTCTGTAAACCTATGTAATGCATTTTTACCAGTTGTTACTATTTCCCATAACTCATCAACTGATTTTGCACCGGGAAAACATCCAGCCATTCCAATAATAGCAATTATATCATCGTTATCATTTGATGTTCCGTTGATATGTATTGGCATAACAAATTGAGAATTATGAACAGGTGGAATACCTTTAATGTTTTTGTTAGATTCATCTGAATCCTTCATTATGGGCTGGTTATAAAATTTATTATGAAGCTAATCTATTTAATTATTATATAAACTATAATAGATAAAACCTGTGCTTCGTAAGGACAATAGGTTTGATTAGTAAAATAGTTGTCTTAAGTTCATAGCCAAAAGATTTTACAGAGAAACCAATACAAATTATGTAGAGCAGATTAAATAATTTAAAAAGTGCGACGGTCCGAATAACTAATTTATGTTTGGAATATTTGTAACTTTACAAATAAAAATAATAAGAATAAAATAATGAAAATAAAAAAATTTAATATATAACTCTTTATTTTTTTGCCAGATTTATTGTTTATTGTACTAGTTTTTAATTAAAATTCTAAATAGAGTTATTAACTACATGTAGAACAGTCAAACAAAACAATCAGATCCTTTGTTAAGATAGGAGCTTGAGAACGCCCTAAGTAAATATTTTACATCGTGAATGTTTCTAGGTAATATGGAGATGCTTTTGACCCAATCAATCAATAAACTTATAGTAATAATACATTATTATGTCTAAATTTTTGTATGTTGATATTATATTACGGTTTCATTATGAGGTTCAGACCGATCAAAATCACTTTATCTATAACTTTTTCTGCTGTTACTATGTTGCCTAGCATTTCTCCCATGTACGTATGATGCCAAGCATTTCATTTTGCATAATTATGAAAGGTTTGTAAATATTCATGATCTTTGTAATTTTGCATAGAGATGGAACAAAGATAATCTGATGTTTATTATCATGTTTTACAGGCTGTCATTGGCAAAATGAATTTTTTTGACTTTATTTATGTTTATTAATAGCACATAAGAAATTATTGTAATTATGTAATTAATGTAATTATGTAATTAGTGTAATTGCTTTGATTATTGTCCGTTTTATTTATATATGTGAGTTTTTTTGGCTTAATATTTTTGTCACAAAACAACATCAAAATACTTATCATTGAAAAATCACATGCTCATATAATACAAACATAAATATCGATATTAAATACCAGGAAATTTTTTCTATCAGAGTTTTTCATCGTATGACCAATACCTTATAATTACAGGATCTGTTAGATAAAGCTTGTGTATTGTTTGGTCTTATGTAACAACCAACATTTTTTGTTATTGTTAAAATGTCCGATTAATTGATTTAACATTTAAAGATTTATAATTCACTCATTATTAATGTTACAAATTTATTAATTTACATAAATTCACTAGCAGAGAATTTGATATATTCAAAATAATGTTGAGTGGTTTGTCATTTCAGGAAGTATAACTTTTTAAAGATAAATATCAGGTAATCTTTATTCGAAATTTTTTTTTGTGGTATATACCTATATAATGTATGTATGCCCGTATACAAGACTACTTAAATACTATAGCAGATTACTTGTGATAGTATAGTATAATTTTGTTTATTAATTATTAGTTTTATT